AATCACATTTTACAGTATGATTTAAAGAAACAGGTATAGCATTGTTACATGATTTATATATTGCCAACCCAAACGTTAGATTATATTCCTAACAGCTGGCTTCATATTTTTCAAGTGAGAATGCACTCAGTTTGATTTCTGGTAACAAGCTGTTTTTTGCTGAAAGCATTAGTGACATCTTTGTGAGAAATGCACGTTAATGATAAACAAGAAAAGGAGGATGGGGAGTCTCACAGTAAACTAATCATGATATTTGTGTTGTGTGTATTCATGCACGAACGCCCACACACAAACATACACATAGGTGTAGCAATTAAATATTGAGTCCTACAACATGTAACAGCACATTTTTGTAAAGGATGGTCAAACACTAACAAAAAAAAAAACTTTTAACATGCTTTTAAAAGCCAAAGCTTCAAGGACAACACTTTGGAATTTAGAAGGAGAACCTTTTAAATTAGCAAAAAATCTAATTTTCTTGTTTGCTCTCAACATCTAGGACAAAGGCTTTCTCAGGTTCTTTAAGAATTTTACACACAGTGAAGCATTATGATAGAGATGATGTGTGTGTTAATATCTTGCTTAACCACAATGTGGTTGAAGTGGAACAGGTACAGCCCAATGGGGTATCTGGTGTGAGCTACAATCTGCTTTACAGGCCCCAAATCCTCCAATCTTTTCCTTCTATCCAATCTTCCAATCCTCCAATCTTCTTCTATCTCCGTTGTCTTCCAATCATCGCACTTCAAGCTGCTTTATCATGGCTTTCTTGCCACTGATATACTGTGCATCTTGATTCCTCTGCTTCTCTCATCTCTTCTCTGGTTATAAATTAAGGATTACTGTATTTAATTCTTCATTCTTTATGTCTTTGTATTTCAAGTCTTGTTATATTTTTCCTCTTTGTTACTTTGGTGTTTTATTCCCTACCCCCTCATTTTCTGTATCACTGCATTCCTTGTTCCCTTTGTATAACTAACTTGACTCTTTTATTATTTATTTAGTTAGTTAGTTTGTCACTCATGGACAAGATAACAGGAATAAGAATAAACATGAATAAGAACACAGGAAATGGGTACAAATAAATATGGGCAGTAGGACAGTGATGTTAGGCACTCTGGTGCTCATATGCACGCCCCTACTGACCTCTTGGGAATGGGTGAGGTCAACAGCAGACAGTTTAAGGTTAAAGTTATAGGGGTTTGAGGATGTAACAACAGTATCAGGTAGTGCATTCCAGGCATTGACCACTCTGTTGCTGAAGTCGTATATTTTGCAATCAAGTTTGGTGCGGTTTACCTTGTGAGCTCGTGTATTATTACGAAAGGAAACTCTGGTTCCTTTCTTTCTTCCATCACTTCTATAAACTTCCACCATAACATTTTTCAATATTAGGATGTGAAGGAGAGGAAGTCCAGCCATCTTAAGGTTGCCAAAGTTGAAAAACACTGCTATAACCATTATGCAGAACAACCAGCAGTCTTGTGGTTTATCCAGAGAAAAGGAAGAACTGACTGTAGACTGAACATCTTAACTTCTTACCTTTAAATCAGAATCAGAACTTCTTAAACACGTTGCAGCTACAATGTATAAAACAGTTTCACATAACAAAATGCTTATTCACATCAAAAACTCCCTGCCAGTAAAAAGATTTTAACAATAATTTAACTTACAGACGATGACTTTTCCAAATTACCTTACCAAAATTGAATTTTTTTTTAAATTAGCAGAACATTCCATTAGTAAGAAGATGGTGTTCTGTTTCAAACCCCCAAATACTATTAGATATTTGGTATTTTTTTAAAATATATTATCCACATTTTAGTGCTGACTGCTTAAGGGAATTAGTACCTGTTTCAATATCTGTTAAATGAAGCATAAAATCAAAGCCTCCACTCAGTGCAGTTTTTCCACAGGGAGACCACTGAATAGCTCGGACAGCACCAGTATGGATAAAGTATGATTTCAAACAGCGTCCTTCATCCACAGCATCCCAAACCTGAAAAATATATATATACATTTTCTTAAAAAATATAAAATAGCCAATAACTTATTTTAGAAAGCAGTACTGATTTCTGTTGAACTATTTTCAATCAGTAACCAGAATGTCATCATAAAATAACTTTTATTTATTGATATAATTTTTAAAAAATTATATTTCAATACATGATAAAATGAGATAATTTGAACAAGAGAGCTAGTTTGGTGTGATGGCTAAGACATAAAGGTAGGAACCAGGAGGCTGTGAGTTCTAGTCCCATTTTAAGCACAAAGCCAGCTGGGTGATCTTGTGCTAGTCACTTTCTTTCAGCTCTAGGAAGGAGGCAATAGCAGTTCTGAAAAACCTTGCCAAGAAAAACGCAGGGACTTGACCAAGAATCAGACATTGAGTAGAATAGAATAGAAGAAGAAGAAAATCAAATAGAACTTCCAAATATGTTAAATATACTAATAATGCAGAATACTACAATGCACAGATCTTTTTAAATTAATAAATATTGGACCATAGAGTACTCTGCATTAAAAGAGGTATATAAATTGTTATCTTCAGCATATTCAGTAAATCTATAAACATGTTCATTCATTCCTTTTCTAATCTGCTGCAACTGAGAGGTATTTTTTTAACATTTCTGTTTTTAGCATTTTTAGTTTAAAAATAATTGTCTAAAATGAGGACATTCACTTACATGTGTTGCTTAGAGAAAGTCTACTGTACTGTACTGATACATATTCCAAACCACTGAAATACTGAGTGCTCTGTATTTCAGTGAGTATAAAGAATACAATACTGTACTCTTTGAAGTTGACATCTAACTCTTTTTCTTATTCGCAGAACAAAATGCTTGAAAGAGTAGGGCATGTTCCCATGAGGCCAATCTGCCATAAAAGACACATTTCTATATTGGCTTAACAGAAAAAAAACAATGTTTTCCAAATGGATCAAACAATGTATCTCATAATCTCAGACATTTTGACTTGAGATGGCTCCACAACTTTGAAGGTGGTTAGCTTGGCAAAAAGGGACGCTGTGGTTCAGTGGCTAAGACGCTGAACTTGTCGATCAGAAGGTCGGCAGTTCAGTGGTTCGAATCCCTAGCACTGCGTAACGGAATGAGTTCCCATTACTTGTCCCAGCTTCTGCCAACCTAGCAGTTCAAAAGCACATAAAAATTCAAGTAGAAAAATAAAAATAGGGACCACTTTGGTGGGAAGGTAACAGCACTCCATGCGCCTTCAACGTTTAATCATGCCAGCAACATAACCACAGAGACGTTTTCGGACAGCGCTGGCTCTTCAGCTTAGAAATGGAGATGAGCAATGCCCCCTAGAGCCGGGAACAATTAGCACACATATGGGGAAACCTTTACCTTTTGCTTGGCAAAGGCTGAAATGATTAATACAAGAAAACAAGGATAATTGTTTTAATAGCCAGGGAAAATTAGATAGATTTAATTTCCACAAAATTTGACTAGACATTAGGAATTACAACCTATAATTATACTTTTGGTTTCAGGATAATCAAGATCTTTCGTTAATCAAAACCTATCAGCTTTGTATCCATCATTTTAATAAGAAATGTATCTACAAAATTTATCAGAAAAGTAATATCCTGTTAAAAGGCGACCATGTACGTCCCTTTATGAGACATTATATTGATTTCCTTTTTTGTATTAAGCATAATGCTAATATCCTTTGGCAATAAAAATGATGAAAATAGCATTCCTGATTACTATCATTTATTGCTTTAAAACTTTTTAATAATTTAGTTTGCTTTAAAACTTTTGGTTATTTAGCTTTCAGGCTGCACACTAATTAATTTTTCAGGCAATTTTAATCTTCAGAATTAGCACTACCAATAAATTAATATCCTAATAGATATGAGTTGATATGGATCACCATTATTTCAACATTCTTGCATTATTATTTTAAAGCAATTTCTATAGCTGTAGGGAGAGAGCTGCTTGAGAGAGTCAAAGCATTTGGTGGAAAACTAAGGTAATTTCAGAATCAGGCCTTATGTCAAAAACATAGGTTTGTAGTATTTGGAACAAGCCATAAATGCTACATTGGGCAAGGAATAAATGTTTGAATAGGCCTTGGTTGGTTGAAGTCTATTGATTCAGTGTAACCACAATAGGAGCTCATCACCACATGGCAACTTCGTGTTTGGCATGTTAACAGATATGCCTTTATTTAATAATCTTTTTATTAGTCCTCAAAAACAAAATGCTCTGCAGGGCAATGAATTACAATAGTCTCTGAGAATATATTTGAGTAAGTCCTACTGTCAGTATAGTTTATTTCATCTTATTTGCAGAGAAGCGGTAAAACGCTCTTGGAAATAATACTTTTAGAAAGATTGGGTGAGCCTGTCACATTTCACTAGACTAATAAAGAGTAAATCATATCCAGGTGCAATGTGAGAGGGCATCCCCTTTTCAGAAAACAGCTGCTTGAGGAAAATGGAAAAGACAGTTGTAAATTACTTAGAAGCTCCTCTCTGATGTTTAAAGGATCAACTATGAATAGACAATGTCCCTAACAAACTTCAAGCAGCACATTTTCTCCTTTTTTGGAAGAAGGAAACAAGCATCTCATTAAAGGGGATTGAGGTTACTTTATGTTTTGCTAAATGTGGGTTTCTTTATCATTAAAGAGTTGAGATATGGAATGTTTATTTGAATGGGATATGTGGGTTCCTTGGTGCTCTTTGACCTTGGTAGTTTTCTTGCAGCTGTTTCATTGCCAAACTAGGTAACAACATCAGTGAGAAGAGGCAATAGGGTCTGCCCTTACTTATCTTTGCTTATTGTTAGCTTGTTTGACAGTTCCATGATTGGGGTATTGCTTGCTTCTTAATTGTTGGGTCTAATTCAGGGGTGTCAAACTCGATTTCATTGAGGGCCACATCAAGATTGTGTTTGGCCTCGGGGACCGGGTGGGCATGGCCGAGATGGACGTGGCCAGCTCAATGTCACTTGTGTTGGGGGCATCCTTCCCAGGCTCCGTTTTCAGCTGCGATGGCTTCTGCAGTGCTCTGCCAGCAAAAACGGAGCTTGGGAGGGCTTTAAAAGACACTTTATGCCTTTTAAATGTAGTTTTGCTTGCAGCAAAAAGTTGAGATATAGAATATTGAGTTTTATATATGTTAATAGTATTTTAGACTCTGTTTGGATTTTTTGCTGACACCTGGATTGGAGAAGATATTTCTTATTGGATTTGCCTAAAGTTAACGGATGGGTTATGGGATGAAGAGATTTATATTTGGTAATTTAAGAAAGGTGAAGAGATTATGAAATTGTTTATACTTGTAATGATGAGGATGGGAAGTTGCTTTCTTAGAGTTTTTTTTCTTTTCATTTTTGCACCTTTTTTGTTTGTCTTTTTTATTTTGCATTCTCTTTTCCTGTTACAACTAAAACTTTTACAAAAAATTATTAGTAAAATATTACCTATTCCACTGAAGTTTCAGCTGTGACAAAATTTTTGTATTTTAATTTCTACTAAAACAAATCCGCTCATATTTGATATGAAACCAAACCTCTAATGACAAAAGGACAAAATTTGTGTGTTTTATATAAAAAAGTTTGATAAACATCCTGGAAAACTCCATCCTAGTGCTTTTCTGGCATTGTCCCCTATATAGCCTATGTAGCCCTGCTATATAAGATAAAATCTGTCTTAAATGTTTTTTTTTTCTTTCTATCAAAATATTCACGTTTTTAATTTTTTAAAAAGAAGGCAGGACTTCACTGAAAAGCTAATATACTGCAATATTGATAATTTGGACTGGCGAGATCACAATAATATGAGCATAGTTCTGGGATAAGCCTTCCCTGGAAACATTGTGATTAGTCTTATTCTAAAACTGCACGGAGCTATATGAAAGTACACTTGAGATTTGATGCTGGCTGTTTTTTTAAAAAAGAGATTTAGCTGCTGCTCTTTTCTCTTGTCTATATTTAGTTTGATTATTGCTGTGTGAGTTCCAAAACTGGTAGATATTTTCAGCCTCGTCCTGCAGAGTGCATCGTAGTTGCCTAATCACAATGCTAGTACACATCACCAGAGTTATGCTTTCTGATCACGTTGACAGCTGGAAAGCTGGGCAGCTGGAAGGTTCCAAAGCAATATTTATAAATGTGCCTCAAATATTATCCTAATATCTAATACATTTATGTAAATCTAAAAACAGACATTCCAACAACTTCAATTCAGAGTTGGTGAGAAAACTGAACGCTAATTACAGGTAGTCCCCCGACTTACGATCAATTGAGCCCAACATTTCTGTTGCTAAGTGAGACATTCGTTAAGTGAGTTTTGCCCTATTTTATAGTTTTTCTTGCCGCGGTTGTTAAGTGAATCGCTGCAGTTGTTATGCTGGTAATACAGCTGTTAAGCAAATCTGACTCCCCCTTGACTTTGCTTGTCAGAAAGTTACAAAAAGTGATCACATGACCCTGGGACACTGCAACCGTCATAAATATGAACCAGTTGCCAAGCATCTGAATTTTGATTATGTGACCATGGGAGTGATCGTAAGTGTGAAAAATGGATATAAATCACTTTTTCAGTGCTGCTATAACCTAGAACAGTCACAATGAACTATTGTAAGTTGAGGACTACCTGTAATTTGTTTCCTTTTCTTCATACAATGAGCAAACTTGACAATTCAAGGTAGAAATACAGCAGTCTCCTTAATTATAAAAGAGAAGGCATAAATATTAGCATTCAGTGTACAGGCAGAATGAAATGGAAAAACTAAGGAAAATTCAACCTGTTTAACAATAAATGTTCCACATTGAATTTACCACAATGCTTTATTTCATAATGTTGAATTCTACTACGGAATATTCTACCCTAAAGTTATTCTAGCTTTAGGGAACAGCTGCCCCAGTGTATCACAAACATTTCTCTTCCCCTGTTGGGGGGTAAGGTTGGGACACAGAATCATCTGCAGGGCTGCAGCTTTCTGGTGAATAAAGTTGCTTTGTTTGT